CTGAGGACTTTCTTGGTTTATTACGGTAAGGTGGGTATAATGATGTATAATGCAATCCAGTGTGTCTGGATGTCATTGGTCAGTGCTTTGTTAGTTTATTATCATGTTTTTTGTTTTAGACATAACTGTGGATGCTTTATTGTTTACACATCTATATTGTACCATGGACATTTTAGTTTTTGTTGTAAGCTGCCGTGAGTCTGTACTGAATTAGTGGCATATAAGTTTAATAAACAAAAAACATAAATTAATTAATAGTATAGCTTACATTAATCTAATGAAATTACTAACGCTTTCCACATCCAGGCCTTTAAAAGTAATTCCTTATCCAATCTATCTAAAATACAAACAAGAGGGAATTAGCTTTTTTACTGAACAGCTTTCATGGCTTCTTTATAAATTCCTTTTTATATTTTTCTTATTTAATGATTCACATCTTGTGTTTAATAGGCAGTCGTGGATCACCTGAGATAACATTACCTTCTTTCTCTTTTTTTATATATATAATTTTTATTAAGAATTTTGATTATAATAGTAAAACTTAATACAACTTCTTTCTCATAGAATAAAATAGATTGTTGGATCCTTAGTGTTTTCTGAGCTTGGCTGTTTACTTTCAGATACTCCAATACCCAGCTAGGTAATATAAAGAGCCAGCAAACTTCACTCTTCCCTGCACTGATGTTGTTACCTAGCTGGGTAATAAAACATCTGCAGGAAAACAGGAGGTGAGAAACCACCTCACTGAGAAAGAGCTGTAGCAAGGTAGGAGATGGACAAAAGAGAGCGAAAAGTCATTATCTCTGGGGCTCAGAAAACACCAAGAACTAAACAGTTTAACCATGAGCTACATATATTCTCTTCTATTGGAATAAAATATACTTTTATATATTCTTGAGATAGATTCCTGTAAAAAACAAACTCCAAAAATTTGATTATTTCTGTACATTATTTTCTGTCACTCTTTTGTATAACTTTCTGGAGGTTTGGTACCTAGGAAACGTTGTTGTTGTTGTTCAGTCATTAAGACGTGTCCGACTCTTCGTGACCCCATGAACCATATCGTGCCAGGCCTTCTGTCTTTCACTGCCTCCCTGAGTTTGCTCAGTTTCATGCTCATTGCTTCAGTGATGCTAT